GCGGGACCGTTGTTTCTTTTGGGTTTTATCGCGTGCTCAACGGAGCTATCACATCGGCGTTACAAAAGAGCTGCTGAAGCCAGCGGGGGCGATGGGAGGCCTTTTGTGGGAATCGAGCGGGTGAATGAGGAATGAACTTCGCAGAGCGAACCGTCTGAGAATTTTAGACGATATCGAAGTTGATCCAAATTCCGTCGCGGCGTCCGGATGAACGGGCGGGCGTGTCCGGTTAAGCGGACCGGTCCGTTTTGAAAGCGTAGGCTCGGTCGAGCAAATGTTTTCGCTTGATTAGATGTCGCGCGAGTCGCTTGCAGCACCTGCCCGCCATCCGCGCACCGGATTTTCCTCCACGCTTTGTTTTAGAATTCGCCGGGGAAGTTTTATCGTTGAACACGCCGAAGCGGGCGTCGTTTGAATTTTCCTCACCTGTAAATTCGTATTTTAACGTTACTATTTCCCTTCCGTAACCACGGCCACCGTGTCCAATTTTCGTTCGAAAATATCGTCGCCTCGGACGCTACGTTAAGCTATTGTTTCATGTCTCTTTATTTTCATTATCGATGATAAATAAAAAAAAGGATTTATGGTGATGTATAAAATAGATATTGCTTGTTTATGAAGGTCTGCTTTTATAGACTTCGAGGGTGGATTCCCTTTATCAGCCCGGAGTAATGGTGGTAACGGTTATCCGAAGAGGTAATAAAACGGGTTAAGACTGTTACAAATATAAAACGATACTTTTACGTCAAAATAAATTTAATTTATTGTGCTCCTTTAACAGAGTAATGAATTACGATTAAACGAATGGTAATAAATGAAGTTGGCTAGAGTAGAAAAAAATTTATAAGTTTGAAATATATTGATTAGTATATTATTTTTTTAAAATGACACGATAAAATATAGGACTCTTATAAAGTCCTCTTCCGACTGAGATTTGAATTTTACGTTCGCACGGAACAACTGTTTTTGTGAACCACAGATAGCTGTTTCGCATCTGGGTGTTTGTCCACGTGAAATTTACTTTTGTACGTCCTTACAACACAGATAATCTTATCCTAATTAAATAAGGGGTAATATTTAAAAAATATAACCCTTCGTTAAGCTTATTGTAAAGACAGAAGATGTTTTTATTGGAGTTAAAATATTTTGTTCTTGTTGTTACAGAATATGGAAAAAATAATTTGACAAGACATCCAGCACATGACTCAGAGTAACGGAATGTTATAACATCAAATACCGGCCCATATCTTAGGTAAGTTCAAATCAACTTTCGATATGTTTATGTAGCTGGATATATTTTATTCAGTAGTAATTTTTGTTTTTTCCATGACATTTAGTTAGGATTGTTTGTTTATCTTTTATGAATTCATTTATCGTTCAAATGTATAGAAATTATATTCAATGAGATAACATGCAAAATAAAAAATCACAAAATTAACAAAGCTATGATGCATTTGCTGTTTAGTTTTAAACGACGGTGGTACGTTTCCCTTGCGCCCGTAAAAAACATCAATCCGCCATCAAAAGGCAGAGGAAGGGGTAATTTGTATCATTTTTTCAATAAAGCACCACCTGCGCCCGCATTTGTAGAATATACGCTCTAAGTTGTAACCTCCGCAAATGTACCGCCATTTGTTGCCAGATTGAAAAACAGTTTCGCGCACGAACTGCAACAATTCGGTTGCACGCTTACCGTACTAATTCATTTGTTCGGTTGCTTTTTACATTTAGTTTTATCGGTGCATGCATTTGGTTTGATCACTTGCGTTTATTAAATGAATTGCTTGTTGTGTTATTTAGTGAAAGAGAATATTAAACTAATAAAAATTATAACTGTATTTCTGATGTAGAAAATAGAGCAGTCTTTGAGTGATTTCATGTATTTACGCGAATAGGTAATCATGTGTGCTGTATAAAGTTTTCGATACGTCGGAAATAAAAATTAATTTTGATGAAGTCTGTACAATTGTAATATAATAAGTTGATGGATTATTCGGATAAATCTGTTGAGTTACCCGACCATTATTTAGGCCAACGGGAGCGTCTTGGTGGCTTGCAAATCATTACAGTGCGCTTTTTGAGAAATTTTATCACCTTTTATTTTCCACGCACGATCAGTTGTCGCTATTGGCAACGCGACGATGTGTGACTAAAGACTTTCATAGAGGGTCCGGCCCGCTAGCTAACGGTGATAGGGCCACGCAACAATCTTCGTTATTGCACGAATGGGTAGGTGTTATACTACTGCTTACGTCTGGTGAGTGAGGTAGCCGGGGGTCACCTTTTTAAATAGTGACAACGCATTTGCAATCCTACTTGCAAATGTCCATAGGCAATGGTTATCACTTAACGTCAGCTGAACAAAAAATTGCGCACAGCGTCTTACCAATGATAGAAACGGGGCTTTTTAAATAAACTGTGCATTAGATTTACGACTCTCTTTCTTATTCTCTACATTATATCTATCTTCCGGGATAGTCCGAAAACTAACGAACCGTCTAAGAAGTTGAATTTGTGGTCTTGGTACTTGATTTAAGAAATGATTATTGAAATATATTACTTTCTTGGAGCAATACATTTATTTATATGCACGTATAAAGAATTAATTTTAATTTTATATAAGTAATACTGCTATATGTTTGCTTTAATGCCGTTCGTTACTACTCGTAAGGCAAAAAATGAGACCGAAATCTTTGAATATATTATGTACATATACATATTGTCCCAATTCTTATTCTACATTTGGGAATATCATCAACACATGCATTATATGTGTTTCTTGTAGAAGTAATTCTGTAATTTGCATGCTACGTGCATGCAAATTACTGAATAAATACCAAATAAGTAAAGGTACATTCGCGCTCAGCGAAGACACTGGTATCGCGTCTCATTGTTTTATGACATTTGTTTTGTGCAGACGTATTTAGCTCGACGTGTTGCTCTCTGCATTTGTCGGGAATTTGTCACTTGCTCGTATATTTGAACGTTCAGGTATTAAGTCTGACACATATTGCTCCCCCCGTGATAAAAACGCGACGTGACTAAGGCTCCAACCCTACCGAAGCCATTCCTCTAAACCATAAAGGGGTGTCATTATATATTACTAACCCAACAATTGGTATATTTGTTCGTTATCTCAATAATTTGCATTTAACCTAATAATTAAGTGGTAACCGTTATTTTTTCAATTGACATTCCTGTGCTTACTGCGTTGTTTTTTGTGGTTTATATTTTAGAAGCTTTTAAAAAAATAAAAAAATAAAGTTTTAAACTTCCCACAAATTACCGAAGACATTTTAAAAGTAACGTACATCTGCCATCAGTCTTTAACTTTAAAAATAAACTACTTAAATGTCACCGAATGGACCGATGTGCTTAAGCTGTAATTTATTAGAGTCTTTCACGAAATATATTGCTCTATTTAAGATGAATCTCGTTCGATTGTACTTGTTGTACACGTCGTATTGTCAACTCGTTTCAAAGACGATATATTACCGATCATCCTTCACAGATGCTCCCCTCTGTATAATTTAAAGCGGCATATTTGAACGGCGTCTGTTTAACAATGTTTGGATCAACAGTCCTGCGAGTAAGTCCCGATGTGTTTTTTAGTTTTACGAGGATGGATGTGCGCTGGTTTTTAATTACGACCCCTTTAAAAGACTTAATATGTTCTTTCGCTTACACTAGTCAAAGTTAAATGATTTATACCGTAGTCAAATCAAATATACATGTGGTAAACTATTTTTTATGTGGAACTATTACATACCGTAACATATGTTATTTATCTTTTGTCATTGACCAAACAAGTTGCTACATTTTAATATAACCTTTGAAGTACATATATTAACATTTTATTAATATTGAAACTTTCCGCAGAAAAAATGGTTAATAACCTTCTGTTATATGAGCTATTGACTTTATTAACCCTCTCAGGATTAATTTACATTAACTAATAGAGTATTTTCCGGCCCGAGGTCCGGTTTAACCGTGCAAAATAACGTAGCGGGGCTAGATAAATGTTCTAACCCCAGTTTCATTATAATACAAATTTTAGTTGGGTTCCATTATGTGGCAGTTTCCCTGATTAAGCGTATCGTGTCGACGTACCTACATCCAGTGGCGACAGCGCGGCAAATAGGCGATCGTGGACTCACCAATGAATTTACACGGGAAGTGATTGCACCATTCGGGAGTTCGGACGAGGCATTTAACTTAAATGTTTTTTGGAGATACAGCTTTTATTTTATGAAAAAATTAGCTACATTTATACTCATACCTATACAATTTTTTTTAATTAAATTAATAATGATGAATACGTTGAGAATAAAATAGATTGTCTATCAAAGAAAATTTCATACATTTTTTTCGGTTACCCAGAGTTTATAGTATATCGTAACTTTATACGAATAACAGTCTATGTTGTATTTAGCGTTTTGCGACATGCAATACGTTTTTTTTACGATACTATCGACGTCGCGGTTATGTTTCTCATGATGCCGATGCTCGAATATTCGGCCACATAAAACGTGGAACGTGCTACGCGGCGTTCCGTTCGTAGTTCGATGGTCCTATTTCGATAGGCTCATGCGGGCTCTAAATTGAGGCTTCCACGGGCGGTCAGACATTATGTTCCCGCCTCGACATGCTTTTGTCAGGGCGTTACAAAGGCGGTTATCCGAAAGTGGGCCAGCAGGGATTACGAAGCGGCCCATTCAACTGCACATATGTTATGTCACTCTAGTGAATCGCCTCATTCGTCCTTTTGTGTGATTCGGCGTGTCACGAATGACTTTATCTGTACTTCGACGAATGGATTTCTCTGCTACCGCCCGCGGCCGTTTCCAATTAGCGCAACGCGAACGTAATTTCGCAACGAAACTGGCGCGCGCAAGGGCCATCGCGTTTAGGTGTGGCCCGACTAGTAGCAGGTGAAAAATTCGCCGGAATACAAACAACGGCTTGTTTGGCTTGCGGCGGGTGGGAGCATCATCCCGTCAGGCGGGTAAGTGCGGCCGTAATCTGTGCTCGGGCGCGTGTAAATGCAAATCGTCCCATAAAGCCATCGCTCGGCACCGCCCCGCCCGCTCCCTTAATGAAGAGCCTCCTCGGAAGTCTCGGCGGCGGTTTGCTCGTCCGCGCCGCACGAAATTGGACTGGGCCGAATTGGTACAGCTAAGCGGATGCCTGAGGCGTTTTCGGCACTCCAAGCCTGCTTTTCTACACGGAATACGCTCCTGTATCTAAGGTGAATGAAATAAAAAGTACTTAAAAAAGTTTTCTGATTGATCGACGTGATGTTTTATTGATAAAAACTTTATCATTCTATAGAAGCATTCTATAGAAAAAATATTCGTATTAATCTCACAACAATTATGATCGTATTTTATAGAAAAAAGATAAGCATAATTCATAAATGAATTTTAAGAAGCCTCACCTAAATGTCTCTGACTAAAACCGGTACTGATGTTTGAGGATATTTTAAGGGCCACTTATCTCTAATGGATGAGTTTTCATCAATCCGCCCTTTACGGTTAATTTAATTGCTTTGAACAACACAAAACGGCGCAGTGTTTTAACTGTTTACTTCAACGTTTATAAGTATGATGAAAATTGGTTAGGTGAAGACAATTAAATGGGTGCACGTGGAAAAGGATTTGGAGGTTATAAAATAAAAACGAAACAAACGCCACTGGCGTGCAGAATTTCGCCGGCGTCTAGACGCGGGTTGCGACTTCAATTTAAAGTTAAACGGCGATCGTTGCCACTTTCAGCTTTATTCTCATTATTCTTCTTTGTTTCGCGATTGTCGGAATGCAAATAGCGCGCATTCGCTTTAACTAGTTCGAGGCGAGCGTTGCATACGTATGAGTCCGGAGCTTAACGGCGCATGCGTTTAATGAACGCGAAATTGAAGTTATACCGAGATACCTGTTAACGACGGTCGTGCTTCAGGCAATGACATTATACGCCCTCGAATTCCCACCGCCACCCGCTCTAACCGACGACTCGCGACCAATAAACGTCTCTGCGAACAAAGAGCTACCCCTTAAGCGGCATAGGTGAAACAATACGCGGCCGTGGGGACCGCGCGTTGAATTACAAATACGACGACTTGACGTGAATTCGAATGGGGGCGGACGAATTTGTACCAAGCTCTCCGGCGCGATACAGTTTCTTTGTTGCACTGTTTATAGCAGTGTGTTGGGGTATATTTCAATGTAGGTGCGTAGTGAGCGTTCCCCGTTGAACTGTGTACGTACGTCTCAGTCGAACGTTGCTCAGAAATGTTTCGCGATGGTGCGCCGCGATGGAATAATGTTTTGTAAATACACTGCTCGCCTAGCAGTGCCGCATAAAGTACTGCGGAATATGTCAGGTGGAGAGAAAGCGGCGCGCACGAACGTACGGACAATTTTACCCGTCCCTTGAATTTATAAATGAAACGTAAACAAGTGGTAGTGAGGATGGTGACAATTGTTTCTGTAACAACGTTGAAGACGGTTAGGCATTGCTTTCATAATTGGAAGTTAAATCGAAAGGTATACACGGCATGTATCCATACATTAATACATATTAAGAAGAAACAAACTCGCGACTAATTTGGTCACCTCAAAATTTCACTCTCCCTTGTAAGGATAACTGAAAACGCTGTACTTTATATGTACACAGTTGTATTTTACTAACTTGACTGACTCTGCTATAAATACAAATACTACATGCCAAAGGATGCCTTATTACGTTTTACGAATGGGAACAATTGTAACGCCCGAGTGAATGCATAATCAATACTCTACTACTTCAGCTAGCAAATGGTATTTCTGTGATATACTGTGACCCATTAAGCTTGAAACAATTCTAGACACTGAAACGTAAATATCCTATAACAAAGACAGACGATAGGGAAGCTGCAAAACCTATATAGATCGATAGGTATTAAAAAGAATAGAATGTTTTTGTTTTGATTCCCCGATTGCGAGTCTAATCAGTAACGACGCAGCCAATTACATAGGCCCATTTCATTTATACGTTTACCGCGCGTTATCCCATCGAACTGGATCCGGAGAGGTCGTGACGAATGCTGTAATTGTTGTATTGGTTCACGAGAAAGATAATTATGGAAGTTTTGAAATGTTATATCCACGGGCGGTGGAGCGAAACGGTGGGAACGTTTCAAATTTGGTTTAATCTACATTTGATCCGAACGGATCACCCGGCGGTTTTTACCCGACCGCAATGTACAGGCGCTTTTGTTCGGTTTTTGTTAGCACGATCTCGGTCCGTCTGTGACGTTGCGGAACGATGTTAGTGATGACGTGGATGCGATCACAAAAGACGTTTTGGTGTGTAGGTAGAAATAATTATGGCGATATAATAACAATGGAAATTAGAAATACAATACGTGCGAACAAAAAGCCGTCACGGGGTCAATTGTAACACGTTTATAAGAAATAAATGTACTCGCCGTGAATCGTATACGTTTAATATGATTGTTGTTCGGATAATTGCGACTAGTAAAATATTTCAAACATATCTTTTTTATGTGAGAAGTTTGCAAGCGAGCTGGTGGTTCACCTGATGCTAAGCGATAACCACCGCCAGTTCACATTCGCAACGCCCGTATGTTTGCAAGCTCGTTGTCACCTTTTACTAAAGTGAACCCAAGCTACCTACTCGCCAGACGAAACGCAGAAGTATAACACTTCCACTTCACGCCGGTCTTCTTTGAAATCGTGGTACTTATCCGGATGGTCCTGCCCAAGCAACAGTGAAGACTGTTGCGTCCTACTACAGTATGTAGAAATAATACGAATTAGCCATCAGTATTATTCTTAAGCACGTTGATCGCGTGGACCATTCGAGATACCGCTATGTTTTTATAAAAAAGCGAGGGAAAACGATCGACTCTCGTCATCCGATACGGCAGACTCGGGTCGTATAACGAAGCATCTTTGGGTAGCGGGGCACCGCCGCTGGCAGGCGAAGCCTCGTGGGAGACTTTGGCCACGCTTAACGTAACACTGATGTTGTTTTACGTTCGCTGGGCCGGTTTTCTTTATGGCGCACGATTTTCTTCTAGTTCGCGCCGGAGCCGACAGCGATGGATACAACGGTCAATATCATTTTATTACCACGGTATAGGTAATTCATTTGCCTACTCTCCCTATTAAGCTTCAGGGAGATCCCCTTTATCTTGGGTTTTCAACCGACTTTGAAAAGGCGGATTGTTAATTGAGACCCTCCTCCTTTTCATTGCTTCTCTTTTTATTTATGATCGTCACCACAGAACTCCATCATTTCTGAACCGATTTTAAAAGTCCTTTTTATTAATTTCATTGGTACTGGACCTTGGAATCCGGAGATACATAAAGGAACAACCCTAAATCATATTGAAAATGTAGAGTGATTGGGATAAAGAGTGAATACACACCTCCATCGGACAGTTTAAAATATTGATTTAATTACAAGTTTGTTAGATTATATATAAAAAATAAGAATACATATTCGTGTTTTGACAGTGGTAAACATTGCAAGATTTTCAAATTATGCGAGTAATATAGTATTTCATATCGAAATACTAATAAATGAGTTTTAGGAATTAAAACCAATTCAACACTATCAATAACACAAACAATTATAATTTGATAACAGTCCGTTCATCGTATATTGAAAGCGATTAAAATTATTGCGTTATGATAAAATTTATAGTATGGGGTAACTATTGTTATATTTTGATATCAGTATATAAATTTAAACTTAATTCAATAATGAAATTACTTGATACTCGTTATTATTAATTCTGACTATAATTAATATTTGCATGCTGTTTGTAAGTGGTTGGTAAGTGGAACTAAAAACAAATGTAATTGTACCATCATAAATGACACAAAAAGTACATAAATGATGATGATGATTGATCACTCCGTGGCTCAGTTGCCAAGGTACCGGCTTCGGCGTCGGGGGTCGACTGTTCTATTCCCACGCGGGACAAATATTTGTGTGACCCACAAATAGTTATTCCCGTCCCTACAACACAGGATAATGTTATCATAAAGTAAGGGCAATGTTTTATTTATAAGAAAAAAGATAGAAAAAGAAAAAATTCATAAAAATTCAATTTTCGAAACATTTCGGACGTAAAAACTAAAGCAAATAGACGCTTTGCGCGCGGTCTTTATTAACTGATTCCCAAGAAAGACAGCTGACAAGCATTGGAGACAGGTTGCACGCAAGCGGTCTGTCCATCGAAGCTACGGTAATTGCGTGTCTGCACTCGCAGTTTTTACAATCGCCTCCAACCCAACGGGCATTGGAAGGCAGGATGCGGGCCCGCTATAGAAACTCATACTTGTTACAGTTTTGCTTTTTGCTCTACTCTGTTATGGATACGGGTTGCATGAATTCAACGCGATCGCCATGCGGTAGTGTGTTCGTGATATGTACTTTGATGTTATACTATGTACCTATGATACGGTAATATTATTTTTATGTTCAGAAAGCACTGTTACTGTTTGTAATTAGACAAGTTTTTGTAAGGTAAATTTGGATTTTCTCGATTTTACTTTACCCTAGTGATAGCTCAGTGTCCGGGCGCTCGCCTTTAATTCAATATACTAGAGCAACCTGAGTTCGATCCCCGGTGCCGGCACCAATGAAATTGTTAATTTTAAGTGCCAAATTATCTGTGTAAAAGTGAGAAATCTGCATATTTTCGAAATAATAACAAAAAAAATGTTTCGAAGATATGTGAAATCCGCCAATCCGCAGTGGGGCCGCGTGGTGGACTATACCCTGATACCCTCTGTACAGATAGCAGTAGGACATGTATAGGCTGATATTTTACTTTACTTTAGCCTTAGATAACTGTTAACGTTTTGTGTAAACGATACCACTTTCCATTTATATAGGAAACAGTTTCGGCGGTGCTCTCGCAATCAGCAACCAAGGATTAAATCGAATTTACAAACCCAATATAGCCTTTGAGCGCTGCCAACAATTTGGAGACACATCGATTAATAAATACCTCGCAAAGGTCCGGCTCTTGGCAAATTGAATGATTAGAAAAACTCCCACAGGCATCCGACGTCGTCCCAGCCGTTCCGAATGATAGAACGAGACTATTTAATTACGGTAATGGGCTTAAAATATTAAACGGACGTTGCGAAATTGAATTTGCTATGACGTGTAATCATCGGCGTCGCATTTGTTGCTCGCACAATCGTCCCAAATGCGAGGAACGTAGTAATCAGGCTGAAATTAATTGTCAAATGCTCTTTTACAACGAAAAGGCAGGAATCAAACCTAAAAAAATTATACATCACGTTTAAAGTGACTGGATGATGTTTCGAAAAGGAAATTATTCGTTATACCAAAGTTACTATAAACGTGAGCGACCTTTGCATGGCTCGGTTCCATTTAAAGGGGCTAGCTCACTAAACAACTGGCTACTTCGAATACTTCATTCGTATTTCTTAGGGGTCAGAACGTAGCCGGAAAAACTGTCTTCTCGGTTTGTCACGATGTGATTAATTTGAATAAAGTTAAATATATTAAAAGCTATTGTCAATTCTTTCAGTATGCATATTGAAAATAGTAATTCGGAGTGGATTCTGATAAAAAAATACTGTTAAGGCAAATCGGACAGACGTGAAGTACACTACACTGAGCTGTGCATTAGCTTAAATCCATGGTTAGTTGGAAGTGAAATCCTTCCATACATTGGTTTGTTCATTCATAAAACGCATTACTGTCGCCGCCGCGCACCCTAACCCCGGTCTCGCATGCAAACTCGGAATACGTTACCGGGAATCTCTCGAACGCCGCAATATGGAATAGAAACGTAAACGTCGGATTTTGTTGCAAGTTACGCTTACAGAGTAGGCACTGAACTAAGCCCTGTGTGGGTGCAGCGAGCTTTGTGCCGGCGCGAACCGAGTATTTTGCATTCTTCTGATAGAATTAGATCCGAGAAGTGAATATATAACACGGTGTTGTTTCTGTTCGTAAAAAGAAATAGATAATATTCGAGTATAGCTTTGGTGTAATTGTTAGAATTGTTCCGTTTATTGTGTGTTAACATTTAAATAGACATTTTACGTTACGGTAGCGTAAATGAAAATTAGGAATAACACAGGTGGCAGACCATTCTGCGTCCGCTGTCTAATTCGCAGAGCACATACGTGGAGCATAAAAGCTTTTCCTTTTTCAACCATGCCAGACATTTTACTAGCGCCGTAGCGCTCATTGCTTTTAAGCAAAATTAGAAATTATCTTTTGCTTTAATTTCACTAAGTAGTTTACTAGAATGCTGCGTCTAAAATTCACAGGTCGAACAATTAACCTAATTATATTGAATACGAAATACGCGTACTCGTTCACCGAATTTTATTTAACTCTGGCTAATGTTCTACTTAGGAATATAAGCTTTTAAGATGCTTCAATCACAGAAATGAAAGCATGTTTTTCATGCTTTAGCCGTTAGGAAATACGAACCAAACAGGCAATGTAAAAATTTCTTATGAAATATTTACATGTGTATGCGTTGTAACTTCTATTTGCAAATATTATAGCTTGAAACGTTAAAATGACAATTTAACCAAGTATTTAGCGTGTTTGAGTAATGGTTGGCGAAGTGACAAGTCAAATTGGCAATGTATTTTGATAAACTAAAAGTATGTATATATTATAAGCACGTCTTATATAATTTATAAATAAGTTCTAGAATATGATTATATCGTTGATTATTACTTGCACATCTATTTATTATGGACCGTCACAATTTCCACATCTTTTATGTGCACACTTTGTGATGCACGAAAGTAGGCGTTAGTTATAGACTCTTGAAGTTGTTTCGTCGAGTTTGAAGCCATAAAGAGATTATGCAAATTTTGTTAGAATGAATCAACAACGACTTGATTAAAACACAAGGTTATTGGACTAAATTATAATACGCGTTAACAGCCTTTTTTCAGAAATTCATTAAGCTCATATATACCGTCGAACGATCGAAAGAAAGCCATCTTTGACTACGAAAGACGAAGATAAGGCACGGAGCTAATTTATTTTATGGGTACACTTTATTTATCGGCGGAACACGGATATCGCCGCCCTTAAAGAGGGTAACGAATGTGTTTCCCGGCTCATTTTCCTAAAACCCACTCCGTTTAATAACCGTAAAGGAGGCTGCATATCTCACACGGATCCCTGGGATTTTCGCGTGGTTCTGGGCTTTAGCGATCGCGTACTCCAGTCTCGATAGAGCGCAACCGGCGCCGAAACGGGCCATTTCATTATTCAGCCCCGCCAGCCACGCTCGAGATTGCGGCGATAGGATTGACTAATTTCGCAGTATCCCGCGTGATGGGCGCAACGGCGGCTCTTCATTTGGGCAGGGGCCGTTTTGAGAGCTTAGCACGCTTCGCTCTGTATCTTCGCAAGAACTCGGCTCGCAATTCCCGCCGATGACACCTACATCTAGGTCGGCTTCTATTTCACGCTAACGGCCCCGTCCCGCGATAACCGGAATGATGACTTTTAATATTATGACGCATCATTTCGTCGAGCGGTGCTCTCGACGAATGGAAAATTATTCATCGCGTTTGTTGCTGCCCGCCGGAACGAGATAAGTTCGTGATGGAAGGAAAAAGCAAAATCGATATCGTACAGTATAAACTTGACGCAAAGCTGGTTCCGCTGAGGGTGAAATGGAAGTGTTAGGCTTTTTTTTCACGGATTGCACGCCGTGACGTATTTTCGAACATTAGGGGTGCGTCTATCATAAACGTCATTCACGTTTCACTCCAATAATCCGATGAACATTAGTTGATTAAAACAAAAAGTACAACACACCTTTCAGTAATTTTCATCCATCGGACTAAAGTCGAAGTTTAACACCGAATACAATAACGAACACCGTTAGGACGAATTCGGATATCAATTTAACAGCAATTCCAATATCAGAAACGAGATTAAAAGGAGTCAAATTAAACGTGAAACAGCCCTTAATCACAGTTTCCAAACGAAGCATTCACGGGTGAAAAAGCTTTATAAATCGAGTTATATTTCGCAAGCGAGCTTTCGGTCGGCGTCGTACGTTTAGTCTAGATTCGTTCGTTGACTATTCAACCGTAGGCCGTATTCAATCGGGGCGAGGCAAGCCTAATCCTCACTCGTGATGAAAGTCAAAGCGAAAGCAAGTTTGTGCACACTAAAAGCCCCTTGGCGTGAGATCACAGGTTTGGCAGTAACGCTTACACGGTGAATTCTAGTCTCCTCGGATAATTGAATTAACCTTGATGACTATGCAAATTTGTCTTCGTTATATTTCTCATGCATTTTATATAAGTTAATTTGCTGAGAGAGCTTTTAAACTCCTGAAATATCTACATACGTAGATGCCAGTTCTAAGTGAAGTGTGGGTAAAGCATTTGACGCCGTTTTTAAAGTTTAATTTGAAAAAGTAAAATGACTTTGGTTCATTAAAAAACGTATTTGCGTAATGAATTGAACATTTACTAAGAAACAGGCACTTTTTAAATTTATTTATGTATTTATATATATAATTATGTACAAAGTGAACATTGATTGAAATATATTAAATTGAATTTGCTAAAAACTATACATTTATTCTGGAATTTTATCATATTTCTTTAAAAAAATACTTACTTTATCAATGCCGAATAAAGTATTGTTTTAAAACTGACACCAGAAACAAAACAAAAGTCAGCGCGATACAGCCGGTGGGACGACGCTCGCTTGTAAAATAATCGAAAAAAAAAAAGGCGCGTAAAAATGCGTGTTCGACTTCCGAACGCTATTAGCGAACGAGTGGCAAGTTTTGTGCCCGTTTCATGGCCGATTCAGCGAAGGCACTCGTTAGGGCACACGCTTGAATGCCGCCTCGCCACTCCTCATTATTGCGTTTATAAAGGCGCCCATAGAGCAGCCCGATTCACTAAGACTCGCTCCGTTACCATGAAAGAGAAAATGGAATTGTGTGGACGGCTTGCTCGCCATAAACTTCTTTTTATTCTTTAAGCCCCGAGCTCCTGTTGTGGGTTGGTAACTGGAGATACGGCGCGCCGTTCGTGTTGAGAATGTAATTTTCTCTTTGCAGACAAAGACCGACTCAATTAAAGCGCAATGTTTTACACGTGTTTATATTAGTTATCGGGCATTGTACAACTATTGAGGAGTGGGGAAATTTTATAAACTCTTAGAGCTTACCATACATTCGCATTTAACATTTATGCTATAAAATAAAAATTAACGATATATTCATATTGAGCCGTGATAGCTCATTGTCCGGGCGCTCGCTTTTAATTCAATACATTCGAGCAACCTGAGTTCGATCCCCGGAGCCGGCACCAATGAAAATGGTTAATTTTAAGTACTATGTTATCACGTGCTCAACGGCGAAGGAAAACATCGTGAGAAAACCTGCATGTTTTTGAAATAATAACAAAAGAAATATATTTGAAGATATGTGAAGTGCAATCCGTAGTGGGACTCGGAATGGACTCTGCCTTAATACCCTCTGTGCAGAGTTGGCCTTTGCCCAGCAGTGGGACAATATATAGACTGTTACTTTAGTTTCCTTTAACGCTATATTATTAGAGATTCTGATCATAATCTTTTAGTTAATGTAACTCTTTCTTATACTTACAAGTAAATTGCCATTGAAATTTAGTATGATTTTGAATTGCCTTTTTTATATTGCCTTATTTCGAAGTATAATTTTACAATGTTAGTGTTTAAGATTACTCTTAGTTACTTGATTTCAGCCTTGTTAAACATATTTGAACTGTAATATATTATAATAAATATAAGGTAACACGGGTTTGGTTATACCTGAACTTTGTTAACAACCGCTACGTAGTTCACTGAAACAGATTTCAATTCGGAAATTAATAAATCTTGCTGCAATAATAGCGGTAAAGCGGGCGGGCTCTCTAATCTGGCATTGATTGCAAAATCAATAGCATTGGCACGTAACTATTGGCAGGTGTGCTCCCCCTTAATATTAAAATTTGTTGGCCCGGATTAGGGTGCGGACACTTTATCATCGGTTATTTGATTTAAATCTGATCCTTTATTACAATAGACCTTTAAATGGTCCACAAGGAATTAAAATTACCGATTGTTTTTATTGAGGTCGTAATTTGGGTATAAGCCCTTTGATTTGATACATTATTCATTATTTTGATGAAACACAAATATTGTACAAAATTTAATTTATCTATTATTAATGACCCGTATAGAAAAGTTTACACGGAAAGTTTTTATTTGATTTAATCACAATGTTTTTTATTTACAGTAAAGGTTTATTACATTTGAAAAATAATAAGTACTCTGCACCTCTTCACAATAATCAACATGCACACGTGATGTCCACATTGATTTTAGATAATTTAATACGTTTCTAGAATTATTTTCTACCTTAAAAGGAGTTGAAAGTAATAAAGATTCAATGTTCATTTTATTAAAAGTTCGTAACGAAAGTGCCAATAGCTTAGGAACGCGTTGTTTTACGAAATTAAAAGTGGAGGAGTTTAGAACTGCAGTTAGATCAACACGGGCCGCCGTAAACCCTCCCCCGCCCCCCGCGACCGCTGAAGCGGCTGGCTCCTCAGCAGCCGGCCAAGTTTTCTCATTATGGCCGTTAGTGCCCGACGCCATTCAAACTATTGCTTACGATCGTCAAACCATCAAGCACGTACGCACTTTGACGGACGCCAAAGTTCTCGCTCTCCGTTCTAAACACATTAGCGTGCTAGGAGCCTTAAAGGTATCGCGACTCAGGGCTAACCCAAGCAACTTTCGATACGTTTTACTAGTCACTGCCCATCGAACCGTACAGTTAATTATGATTAACGTTAAATAGCCGTAGATGCAATCGCCGAAGCAATTGTAACTGGACGAAATACGTTATACTCGTAAATTTGATGGGATCGTAGACAGAAGATTCAAATGCGGGAGATTAAGGGCAGACGGGGGAGGTTACTCGACATTTACACTAGTTTTATCGTCCCGAAGACCCTCGTAAAGCTCCCTTTGTGCTAGTAATGTCTCAAGTTGTATTAACACTGTGATAACTTTAGCGGGAAACGTTCGATTCCGCCGTGGCTGGTTGCTTCGTCGGCCGCAATTAACCGATCTGAGAGGATAGTTTCGACAATTCAAACGACCTGTGTACTTCGCAGTTATTAATAATAAGGCTATTAGACACCCTTCGAAATTAAATTTTCCTAATGCGTTCGCAACAAAGCGGCGGTAAATTAATATTTACCGTCCCTTAACGCTACACCCCGAATGTTCTTCGGTAACAATTAACGTTAATAGAACTCTCTAAACTCTTTCTACGGATTTTTACGACGCATAAAAAATCTGCTTACTCTGTGGGGACTACATGTTTTTAGGTGTATAAAACAATCACAGATAATAAAATAAAACCCAAATACTGAATAACAATTACTTTAGTCATTTTCACAAGCCTTCATGTCTTTTGACATTTACAGAGCCGAGATGCAAAGTTATGCTGTTATCAATCCTCTTAAATTCAAAACGGAGCAGGTGGTAAGCCTCGTTGTTCATTGCAATGGACAAAATTTGAGACAGTGATTTTTGCACAGAGGAAATTTGAGAAACCGGAAAGTCATTGCTGCACGCCAGTGCGCTGCGAACCCGACACCATGAGTTCGCAAGTCTGGCGTCCCAGCCACTACCCTTGTATTATTTTAATCTATCTGACTTCTATTAGTCTTATTTAAGATTGGAATGCAGCGAAGCATAGTAAAAGTCCCAATCAGCGTACAAACGGCGAGAGGAGTTGCTAGACTCCGCGGCCGAGGTCGGTTTGATGTCGGAACCATGAATTTTCCAAAGAATTTGGCGGTTTCAATCGATGACGTCGGTAATGGAAAAGTTCAATAGGCAACAACAAAGGCTGATACAAGTTAACGAGGCACACGAAAGCGAAATCCACGGTGGAAGCGCGCTCTGGCGGGCAGGAAATTAAAAGACAAAAGCGCGCCGGCCGGAGCAGTTTAGGCTCGGAAATGGAGGGCGTGCCCGCTTTTCTCCCTTTCATCGAATTCGCGGGCCACCTTGTGTACCTTTAATTGAACGTGTTTACGAAATTACAAACGTAGTGTACTATTTTATTACAGTGTGGTCGAGGTATCACCGAGAGTAAGAAAAAGCTGGAGGAGATTACGCGCTTTGCCGAGCACAGACAATTGTGATTTGTTTAATTTTTATGTATTTATTAAATTTATCCACACACTTTTAAAAAGAAAGGAGTTAGAAAATAAGGATCATTTTGTATCAAAATTAATGAAAAAATTAAATAAAGTTCACAATTTTTGCGCTGCAAAATAACGGCAGCTAAAAAATTATAATGTTACAACATTGTGTATATATAAACGTGTATAACAAGAGTTTTGTTTTAACACTAACCGTTTGAGTCTTGGAGCGCAACTTAATTTTCATTCATAACTTATTAATTGCTTTATGACTGTTAATTTAGGAAGCAACAGTATTTTACTGTACATACGTAAACGCAGTTGATAATTTAACAAAAAAACGATTGAAACTGTGTTTTAATTTACTTGATCTAGAAAACATTTAAAGCATAGCGGCATTAATCCAGTCTAATACGAGTATATCTAATGAGTATCGAGTGCACGTATACGTATGGTTTCCGTAATTCAGGCGGGCTGGTGTAATCCAGCCGTGCAGGTATATCGAATTGCTGGGGGAGGCGAGCGGACTTCTCGTGTCTTAGATAGGGACACGAAATACTGCTTGCGACGTTATACCATTGTTCCCAACATTCTGTATCCGTCTGCCCTTCACGAATTAGACTCGCAAATACAACCTTTACATTCGGCTTAACATCAGCGACAATTGACGCGCCGTGTGGAAACGCCCGGGACCAACTTCATTTTCTAATTCGATTTGCATTCGGAAACGAAAACTTTTCGCGACACTGTTTTGCATTATTAATAATTTAGAATAGCGTGATACCCCAAGGGACGCACCAGAAGCCAGAAATTGAATTCCGATCCTTCGCAATTAGTTATTCCCGCGCGTGAAAACTTTCGAGATCATTCGCCTTCGTTAACAGATGTTACGGTGCTATTCATTATACATTCCGTCGAATTGTAAAGCCCAACATTTAATTTAAAGTGCCGACGGTTCCTTTGTTAAACGGTTGAGGCTTAGGAGCCTCTTGAGAAGTAAAGGATTTGAAAAACTCGGTAGACGCTGTGCTCGGTGAGATGGATAAACATGTATTAAATACGGTTTTTGCGATTATAGAATGAAACCTCTTCAACAAATTAGTCTATGGGCGAATTTCACTGTAAATAGATTGAGAGGAAATATAAATCCTAAACTTACAAAAAGATACCTATTGTTCGTGGGTTTCAGGGAGAACAGCAATCTATTGATATAACATGTTGCTTTGCTTATCAAGCTAATTTTGAATAAAACAATTCCACTCCCTCCCTCGAACGCCACAAATTACGGAGGGGCACATCCGTTATCTGCAGTTTTCGGCAGAAATTATATTAAGATCTTGTCCTGCGATAAGGTTATATATTTTAGCTTTCCGCTATCGTGGCCTAGGGTGAAACCGCAGGGAGCGTCGGTATTTTATTGCAAAAATAAATAACAAGAAAAATAAACTAGATTCCATCTGCAGCATTGGGATTTTATCTTAAAGTTGCCTCTTTTATGAGATTTGTTTTAATCGTATTATATTATACGTAGTGTTATTTCATTTACATTTTGAGAAATAATGAAGGGATTGTCATTAAATGTGTTTGTTTGCTTTGCTCCACAGGTCATTGGCGGCACATGAGATGGTATGGGTTCACACGGCGTAGCTAAGTGGCGTTGGTGGGTCGTGGTGGTGGCTTGGACATGGGGTGCCGCTGCCCGCACGCTGTGCCCAGCGCGCTGTGCTTGCGACGATGCCCTGCGCGCGGCATCTTGCGCCAACGCCAGTCTCGAGATTGTGCCCATCCAGCTCAACCCCGAGGCAACACACATCAACCTCACCCACAACTCTATAAGCAATCTCCTCTATACTTTCCCGTTTTACACGCAATTAACAGTTCTTGACATTTCGCATAACAAAATACAAGACTTAGGTAGTAAAAATTTCGAAAATAACGTCGAAATGACTCACCTCAATTTGAGCCACAATTTCTTGAAACGCTTGGATGTAGACACATTTGTTGGATTAAGGAAGCTTGTTGATTTGGATTTATCCAATAATCAAATATTGAATATTCATATACAAAGCTTTAAGGATTTATCGGTCTTGGAGAGGCTCGATTTATCGGGAAACAAATTAGTGAGTTTCGAATTGGAAACATTTGTCCCATTGTCGTCTTTAAAGATATTGGCGCTTAAAAATAATTCAATTCTGGATATACCTTCATCCAACCTAATACATTTGGTGCATTTGGAATATTTGGATTTATCAGAAAATTTAATTCAACAAATATCGAAGCAAGGGGTCCCATACTTGAAGGAGTTGAAACATATAGATCTAAATAATAATATAATAGAGAGTATCGATCAGCTGGGATTTCAAAATTTGCCCTCATTGCGCCATTTGGATCTTAGCGACAATAATATGACCTCTGTTCCCACATCTGCTCTTTCTAAACTATCAAACTTATCTCATTTATACTTGAGTGGAAACTTTTTTCAGAACGTAACGGCACTGTCTTTTCAAAGTTTATTCCATTTAAGACATTTACATTTGAGTCGACTTTTTGAACTAGAAAAGATTGATTCTAGAGCGTTCGTCGACAATATTAACTTGCAAAAGATTTGGATGAATGAAAATATTAAAGTAAGAGAAGTGCCACCAAGATTATTTCATGGAAATCCAAAACTTACACACATATATATGAAAAATAATGCTTTGGAAACACTTGATGCATCACATTTTCCTATAGATAGATTACAAGAACTTGAAATTTCTGGTAATCCCTTTGTATGTAACTGCTCATTACTATGGCTATGGAAATTAGGGAGGGAGTGTGAAATGAACATGAAAAAAAGTGACAACTCTAGTGTCATACTAAAAATAGACTACGAGGACGTGAAATGTGCTGCGCCTGAACATTTGAAGGGAGATCTACTCGTGCCAATTCTTGAGTCGGAATTCGGATGTTCAAATGGTTGGGTTATAGTAGCAGTCATTGTTATGACTGTGAGCATTATAATCAGCTTAGTCGGTGGAGGGTTATACTTTATGGGGCCCTTGAAAAAATGCAAAGGCGACAAATCGAAGCAGGTCATGACGAGTGTAATGTTAAACAGTGATGTGTCAAAACTGGGAAATGGGTTGGGATATTCAACGCGAAGTAGAGAACAGGAGAACAAGAGAGACGTGGATCGATACTTAATGATAGGTTCATCCGTTACGAATAACTTCCATTCCCTTAACCCTCCTTGGCACAGTGTGGATAAAAATCCTTATTACCAGGAGGATAGTGAAGAACATATTTACCAACAGTTTGCGTACGAGACTATTCCTCATCACAGAACCCCGGAGAAACCACACATAGTGTATGTTTAACACAGGTTTTAAAAAGGACAATAGAAACATATTTTGCTTCGTTTCATAATTGCAACAAAACAAACTGTAAAAGAACGAAACTATGCAATAATGTAAATAGTAATACAATTAAAATTGTAATATGTGATAGCTTTGTAAATAAATGTGTACATAATTTTTCAGATAAAGACTAGTAATCTACCCTAAAGTTTTACTTTTGACTATGTATAAATTTTATCTTGTAGGTACTAATATTTCTATATCCATGGCCCATTATTCAGATATTCTTTTTTTTCTTCGTAGATATTGTATAGCTCTGTGAGTAATAATAGCCTCTCTGTAGACAGACATAATCTTTTTGCATTGTAAATCGTGTAGATGATTTTGATATTATTTAATAGTTCCTCATATAGTATGGGTACCGTAAAACTGTAAGGTACTTAATAAACGTTTTAAATTTAATAAAATACTCGTGTGTTATGGAGAAGTAGTTATACATACATAATATATGTATATTTTCTGAATAGAACACCAATACATGATGAAAACATTGTACAAATATGAGCAATATAGTAACTAATTTCAAATATTATAATGTCGTTAATTTTATTTGAACATTGTTATAGTGTATATTGGTATTTAGTAAAAATACTGAAAACATATGTATGATTACCTGTTTCGTGCTTAGAACAATAACTGACTATATATAACCAAGAAGGTTCATAAATAAACCAGCTGCTCTGATGGGATGGGGTACAAATGAGATAATACATTATTTATCGGCTATTTTTATAAATTAATTTCATGAGAATTGTTTTGAGGCGTTGTGTTGAGATGATATTCTGAAATTAATATTTTTATACTTAGTGAATACATAGTGAAGTACATGACAAATTGTGAGTTGAAAGTTATTGGGCTGATAATCTTTAGGTATAAAATTTTTTTATTGCAGATTCATATAAGATTTTAATATAGAGCTGCTTTTATATACATTTACGCCATAGTTATTAGGGATTTTTCATTAAAAAGCAGCTGAAAATGTTAATCACAACTAGCCCAGTAACTTTAATATTTCTAGCTGGAACAGAATAACCTTGCAATACGCTAATTTTGTATTCTTACACATAGATTTCGTAACGTATACGTACTTTATAACCAACAGCATTTAAACCTACTCAGTCGATAGAACCTACGGGTGTAAGACTATTTATACTACATAATTTTTTTTGTTATGAATCCTATTTAAATATATGATGCATTGAAACAAACGACATATAAACAAATAAAATAATATACGCATTTTTATTACGTCCGTGATAGCCCTCTGTCTGGGCGCTCACTTTTAATTCAATATACTCTTGCAAACCCAGTTCAAATCCCGGTGTCGGCACCAATGAGTGCTGACTTATTACGCGCTCAGTGGAGAAGGAAACATGTTAAGCTAATATAAGGTGAACTTTGATATTAAACTCTATATACAGAAAAGGCCTTTGGCTAGCAGTGGAACACGGACAGTTACTTTACATCAAGTCTTTCAATCATTACTGTTTCAAAACGCTCGTTTAATATATAATCCAAGACCTTTAAGATAAAATGTACACGTGTAATGAAAAATGTGAAAAATATAAAGCGGCCAAGTGCGAGTCGGACTCGCGCAGTATCTATAAAAACGGCAAAAATCATTATTGTTATATGGGAACCCTACTTAAATATCTTTTTTTCTGTTTTTTAGTTTGTTGTTATAGCGGCAACAGAACTACACCGTCTGTGAAAATTTCAACTGTTTAACTATCACTGTTCATGAGATACAGCCTGGTGACAGACAGACAGACAGATAGCGAAGTTTTAATATAGTAATTGGGCCCCATTTTATCCTTTGGATACGGAACCCTAAAAATTAAAAAACTAACAGAAAAACAGTTATTTTTTGTGTGAAAAATTTGTTGGCATGCGGGCAAGCGGTTCACCTGATGTTAAGTGATCACCGCCATTCATTGATATTACAACATTTGACAGGTTGTAGATGAGTTGTCAACCTTTAAAAACCGCGGGCCTCGGCCAGCTTACTCACCAGAACGCAAAAGTATAATATTTTTACTTCAAGGTGGTCTTCTGTGAGGTCATGGTACTTCTTGCTACAGCAGAAGCTGTTATATGGTCCTACCACAGTAAGTTTATTAAAACTTATGAAATTTCATATTAAATCGTCCGTTTATAATTATTATTGTCATCTAAATATTAGAATAATATGCCTTTACACTATTACAGATACTATACAGTTGCCTTTACTTTAGGATAATATTATCCTGTGCTGTAAGGACGATTTACATACTAATATTTCACGAGTACAAACACCCATGTGCGAAACAACTATCTCTGGTTACACACAAATAGTTGTCCCGTGTGGGAATCGAACCAACGACCCCCGACACCGAAGCCAATACCTTGGCAAATGCGCCACGGAATCATCATATACATCATATCAGACCTAAAATCATAAAACAATACTTCAACAAAATGAAACGTTGCAAATAAATGTGAACTTGATAATGAATTTAAATTCGAAACAGCAACAAGTATGACAAAGTCATTTGTTAGTCTGGTATCGGCTGTTTGCAGTCAGTGAATGTTCGACGTTAGTAAAAAACAATAATCCATTTACGATATATGTTCACTATCTGACGTACAGAGCTTTATCTATTTTTTTTTATGTAAGGAGATGGCAAACGAGCTGGCGGTTTAACTGATGTTGAGTGATAACCGCCGCCCATGGATATTTACAAAACCCGCTGTTTTACTACATTGAAACATTAAGTTGGACTTACTAAAATGTAAAAATTCTTGGTAACAATCTTTACTTAATGCAACTGTTCTATCGATGGCAGTCAAAGTCGAGGTCCATCTGAGACGCTCTTGATTTTGGTTCTTGCTCTCCCTTGTTAGTTGAATTGTTAACGGTCCCTGTCATTGTGTTGTCGTCGTCCACCAGCTACCTTGTTTCTCTTAAATCCTGTAGTCCTTTGTGGGTGGTTCACCCACGGACCTGTTCCGACGAAGCTAACAAAGCCGCCGGATGATTTTTTATTTTATTTTACTGCTATTATTATATTCCTAATTAATCTGACAATAGTCATCTCAGATCGCATTGCTAAACATTTAGGGCAGTTTAGAAAAAAATTATTATTTAACCAGTGAACGCATATTTTATAATAACAACCATCTCTTAGAAAATCTATCCCAGGCTGTCGATGATTTCTTCACAAAAAAAATTCAGTATGAATTAAAATATTTTTATAGTTTAGATATCATGAAACAAAAACGTCCCTCGGTTCGCAATAAATAAAAAAAAGACGAAATTTTTATTGATAAATATCAAAAGGTGTTTTGCTATTTATTACCAATATATGATCCTTGATGCTTATTCTGGATAGTATTGCCTTAGTTTTAATACTACAACATCTCCTTATCATTAGAATAAGAACATTTTGTAAAATCCATTAAAGTGTGATACAAAATCAGTATCAGCCTCTTAAGTTCTTGTACTGCCTAATTTAAAAAAAAATGTAATAATATTTTTTCGGACATGAGTTCTGGCGCAGAATTCATCGCCGTTGTTAGTGGCAATAAGTACGGTTGCAAAGAAATGCAGTACGTATTTGTTTTAATTTAAAAGCCATAATTGAACCGCCCTGCCCTCTGGGGCGAACACAGGGTTTCCTATGGGGCCAACGTTGGCTATGTAGATCAGTAATGGAGATAAATGATTGTCAAAGTACTCAAATTGCCAAGCAGCCGGTGCGGTCTGTAAGTAAAATTTTCACGTTACCCCCGCATAATGGAGTAAACGTGTAGGGAATTTATTCAGCAATTAAACCTCACGTTCAAGAGGCTTACTTGTTCGTTATTAAAAATGTGAACATATCCCCTGTTTTAATAATGGATATAGCTTCGTATATTAGAAAAAAAAAACTCTTTTATTTATTTAACAAATATTCTTTTTAATGTTATAGTTATAGAAATGTATATAATATATAATTTAGAGCAGTTAACTTTATACATTTAAAAAGCTTTTTATTATTTATGTACGACACATACATTATAAAGAGGTTGATAAGTATGTACGTTTAAAAACCCCATTGGGATATAAAATTGCCCATATAACCCGTATTTAATGGTACATCGAAGAATAATGTAGTGCTAGACCCTTGCCCAGGGCTATGTCTGGAAAACGAGTGATAAATGTTTTTTACACCCGTGACGGCCGATCGTTCGGTTTAAATCTGCGAACGGATGGTCGGACAGTTTTAATGGTCTCAGTAAAGAAGCAGAGCTGATGCATAAATTTAAGAGGACCCTACCAATTTTTGGAAATACGTTTTAGTCAGACATAAGGTTCCAAATTTATGTGAGCGCGAACATTGTTTTCATTCGAAGGGCTTTGAAAAATCCTTCCGGCATTTGAAGGTTTTAATTTTTAAGGTATTTGATAATGGTGTGTGTAACTTCTTTTACATGCTAATTATATATTGTGTTTTCATTTAAAAAACAATACTATTAATTAAAAAATAATTCTAAAATGCATTGTTTTAACGTTTAAGTTTAGGCATAGACAATTGAGTTGGTAATTTTAAATGGTTATTGACTTAATTGAACATTAACATTTAATTACGTGAAAGGTAAATTGCCAAAATTGACCCTATTACAACCTGATTTACAACGCTCCAACAATATGAGCGTCCAAATCATTGATCAAATAATCACTGGATAAAAATAAAACTTAATCTTTAAATTCGTAACTATTCCGGGTTTATTTAGATGCCTCATCGTAATGCAACCAAACTTAAAGTAAGGTATCTAAGACCGACCTTCAGAACGGCAATCAACTGCCCATAAAGACTCGCAATGAAACTACATCACATAAAAAGGCTTTAACGTGAAAAAATAAAGACCTTTTATCCCTGAAGGAGGCTGGGCGGCTTCCTGCTAGCTGGGGTGGCGAGATTTATTTCACGACAGTA